TGGAACTGGTCTATGGAATGTTGCAGTCACTTGGGACAATGTAAATGAAATGGAATGTTGCTCTCTGATGGGAAAAGGACAATGGAGTGTGTCCAAGGTATACTGTTTTCTGTTGGTGCAAGGACAATGGAATAAGTCCATCAGATGCTGAACTCTGCTGGTACAAGGACGATGAAACTGGTCCATGGGATGCTGCAGTCTATTGGAACCAGGGTAAAAGACAGGTTCCTGGAGTGCTGCCCTCTGATGAAACAAGGACAGTGGGACTGGTCCACAGGATGCTGCAGTCTGTTGAAACAAGAACAGTGGGACTGGTCCATGGGATGTTGAATTCTTGTAGTCAAGAATAATGGAACCCAAATTTGTAGACTGTTTATCACCCAGGATGATGGTACCTGCAGGGATTCCCTCCTGGCCTCTGGCTCCATGCAGCCCTCAGAATTTGGTGACCACTGATGGGCCCATCTGCATGTATCTCTAGCCTCATAGACTTAGTTACTTTTCATTTCTGGGATGAAATACCTGGCACCCACAAGTTAAAGAAGGAAAGGTTTGTTTTAGCTCACGGTTGTAGAGGTTTCAGCTGCCTCCAAGGCAGGATGGCATGGCAGAAGAGAAATAGTCCATAGCAGGGCAGGCAGGAGGCACTTAATCTTCCTTCTTCCTTCCCCTTTTGTTTCATCCAGGTTACAAGTCTATTGGTTGGTGCTGTCCACACCCACAGTGGGTTTTCCCTCTTTGGTCAATCCATCACTCACAACAGTGGTACGTTAAATCAGTCAAACTAAATCCAGTGTCACACCCATGATCTAGTCACTCCCAAAGCCCCACCCATGAGCACGTGAGGCTTTGGGGGCCTCTAGAGATAGGCCATAACACTTCTCACTTCTGCCTCAAACTTACCCTTCTTCCCAGCGATATGCAGGTTAAGCTTGTGGAGTTCCCTGGGGGATGTACCCCTCTTCTGTAGGAACCCAGACATAGTCACGTCTCCCTCAAATTGTGTGTTCCTGGAGAGGTGGTATGGGAATAATTAATCTTTGCACTTCCAAAGCATGACTCAGCACCTGGCACCAGAAATATTCATGGCACATACAAACTGTAACAACAACAACAACAACCACAACAACAAGGTGACGGCAAGAAAGGTCAGGCGCTTGTCCTAGGCCAGGGAACTTAGTCACCAACCACTGGTTGTTGCTGGTAGATGTCTAACAGTTGACTTTCAAAAAGAAAAAGAAAAACTAAGCTAAATGTCCAGTCATTGCCACTTTTCCTGGTGTAAAGCCTCTCTATGGCCGATTTCAAACTGACAGCGCAGGGCCAGGGAAGGGCACACAGCCAGCTCACAGGAGTTGGCACCGGTGACCTGGCACATGTGGGACGCCCTGCTCTGTCATAGGCTGGGGCAGCTCCTCCTGCTGTTGTGGGGCCTGGGTACAGGGAGCTGGGGTGAGACTGTGACCCTGCTTGTACTGGCTAGAGTGACAGAGCTGCAGGGGAGAGGTTAGGAGGCCCCACCGTGTTGCTGCCACGCCACCTCAGACTCTGAGATGTGAGGATAGAGAAAGGGGGAGCGAGACGGGGTGGGCGCCGAGTCCTCGTGCTCCCCTGCTGCTTGCTCAGTGCTCTGTAGTGAGGAGTCGCCATCCTCCCTCCTGTGGCTGGACAGCCTGAGCTGAGAGCCAGGCCATCCTCTGCTCTACCCTAAGGCCTGGTCTCACTCTGGTAGGCAGGGACTCTGCTTTCCACGTGCTCGGCCTCCCCACCCGCGTCCTAGGCCCCTGCTGTCTGTCTCCCACCCCAAGGGTCCAGACTTATGACCTGGCCCAGCTGCAAACCCTGGCTGGAAGACTGTGGGGGCTGGGACAGTAGGGGGACTTCTGGGGTCTATGGTGGGGGATGGTCACTCCTCATCTTCCTCTGCAGCCTCTCATGGATGCACACATCCCCACTCCTTGGGGGTTGCCGGCCCAGGACACTTCCCCAGCCTGCATGGGAAGGCTCTCCGGTGGCTTCCACCCTGCTGCGAGACCAGTTCTGGTTGGCCTGGAGCTCCCAGGCTGGCAGGTGGCAGATGTGATCCCTGGGACCTGCTGTGCGGGAGGAAACAGATATTCGCTCCTGTGGGGGTCGCCAGGTGTGCAGTGGGTGTATGCTCTCGCTGCTGACCCAAGCAGAGGTGCACTCTTGCGTCCTCCTTGGGAGCAGAGCTGAGGGTCTTTCTCTGAGGCCATGTCCTGTTGCTCTAGGTGATGGTGCGGTGATCATATAAACACCGCAGAGATATCTGTGGGATTTAAGGAGAGGTCTGGAGTCTGGGGGTGCATTTGCCAAGGGATGCAGAGATTGGCCATGGTGACACTTGATTGTCCTCATGGCCTCCCCCCCCCCCCCCCGCCACATTTACCACTTTGGTCCTGGCTGTGGACCTAGTCGCCCTGAGCTCCCAGGAATGCTTGGTGTCCTCACACCGAGAGGACAGGTGCCTCCCAGGGAGGTCAGGGAGTCAGGGAGACTGGCTGGTGTGAGACAGAGCCCCGGTCCCCAGAGGCAGCCTACGGGGCCTCCTTCAGACTCATGGGTGTTCCTGAGCACCTGCTCCTGTGGTGGCTGAGGGCTGAGTCCAGCCCATGGGACCCTGGGGCCTGGCCAGCTGTCTGGGCCTAGTACCAATAGTGGGGTCACAGTGGACCACAGGGGTCTTTTGCGGGCCATAGGCCGAGTCATTCTGGGAGGTGCCTGCTGGGGCCAGCCTGGGGGCTGGGTCCTGTAGAAGGCAAACCTTTGGCAAGGGACTGTGTGGGAAGCATGGAGAGGGGCCTTAGCGGGGATCTGGAGTCTAGGGGCCTGGGGAGGGAGGGACAGGATGAGGCCAGAGTGTGATCATGCAGTCCCTGGGCAGCCATGCCTGTGCAGGGGCCCTAGAGATGCACCCTGTGGACCCTGAGGAGGCAAGGGCTGGGGTGTCCCATATACCGCCCCTTGCTCTCCTGGTTGGGGGTTCCAGCTGTCATCCCAGCACTCTAGGAGGCTGAGGCAGCAGTGCAGCAAGGAAGCCTGACCCCGTTTCAGCACAAAACAAAAAGGGCTGGGGCTGAGCTCCATAGGGAGGTCCTAGGTTCAGTCCTATACAAACAGCTGGGGGTGCTATGCCTGGAGTGTTTGTTGACAGGCATGGGTGACATGGGGCAGTGTGACTCTGACCCTGAATCCTCAGCTCTACACTCAGATTTGGGTGGCTGGTGTACTGACAGGGCTCTGGGGGGCTGCCTGTGGGGCCGAGGCATCAAACTGTTCCCCTGCCTGGGCGACCTATATACGGCCACCCTGCCCTGGGCTTTGATCCTGTGTGGAGCAGAGTGGATTCTGTATTTCCCACTGCTGGACTGAATCCCGTGGCTTTGTCTCCCAGCACTGATGGAGCCTCCCTCCAGAGTGGGACAATTTAACAATGCTGATTGGCATCCCACAGAGCAGCTTCTGGGATGAGAGCCAGGGGTGGACTGGAGAGTCTGAGTCCTCTGCTGTGAAGGTCTCTGGGGCCCAGGGCCTGTGACCTCCAGGGCCGCTTGGCTCCAACCAGGCTCGGTGTAGCCCCTCTCTGGGGCCTCATGGGCAGCTGCATCTTGCCTGCCTGCCAGGCTGGCCCTGTCATCTGTGGCTCAGTGCCACGAAGTCAAGGGCCTCTTGGTCCTGGTGTTGTGTGGACACCATGTGCTCTTCCTGCGGCTGCAGGAGTATGGAGCTTCCCAGGTCCTGGGACTTACCGTGGGCAGGTACCAGGGGCTACTGGGTGTTCACCTGGTATTGCCCTCTAGCCTCTGCCTGGTTCTGTGTCTTCTATTCTCCCCAGCATGGCCAGCGCCATACCCCTCAGGCCATTAAATCAGGACACTCAGACCCCAGGAAACCTCACGGCCCCCATGGGTGGCAGCAGAGGGGTGCCCTTGGGGCCCGGTCTCCCTCTGCTCCTCTCCTGTGGCACTTAACTGATGGTGCAGCCTGTCTACAGGTCCCCAGTGCCCACCCCCCATCTCTTCCTGCATTCTTGGGGTCCCGGCCCACTCTGCTCTGCTTGTCCATAGAGCCCAGTTCTGGCTCTTGCACCCCAGCTCCTCAGGGGATCTGTGGCTGATCCTGTCCTCTGGGGGCCCAAAGGAGTGCCTGGCCCTGGGGGACCACACAGATGCATCTGCTGACCCTCTGAGTGCTGAAGTCTGCCGAGGTGGCCTGGGGCGAGTTGCTGGCAGTGTGGGATCCAGGCAGTCATCTCAGGCCTCAGCCTCCCAGAGTGCTGGGTTTCAAAGGTATGTATCACCATGCTCAGCTTCAGCTACTTTAATGGAGGCGCAGTGCCAAGGGGAGTGATGGCACCTCTTCCTGTAGAGGAAGAAGCACAGGTGAGAGAGATGACACTGTGTATCTGCAGCTGGGGCTCCCACCCGGAGACTCTGATAGCTCCATGATCCTCAGAGCCATTTTGCAGGCCAGCAAGGGAGTGGGAAGACCCCAGGGGTGGAGCTGCCCCACCTTCCCTCTTCCACCCTCAGACCGTCCCCTCCCCAGCCTGGGCTCCTTGGAGAAGTCCCTTCTAAGGGCCACAGGACCATGTGCTGTCAGGCCGGGGTGCAGGGAAGGCTGGACAGAGGGAGCAGGCTGTGCCCTCTGCCCTGACCACAGCGGGACTCTTACAGGGATCTGGACCTCCTTGCAGGAAGGGCAGGACCAGACTGGGGAGGAGACAAATAGGGAGGAGACCAACCCCGCCCCCAGCCTTGGCCACTGCCCCTTCTCATGAATATGCATGAGGTGGCTGTTCCCACCCCCCTCAGGCACTTATCTCTAGTGGTGAATAGTGGTGCTATTGTGGGCAGGGCTGCAGAATTTTAATGACTTGCAAAATATAGTTAATTATGTAAAAAGACATCTTCTGCACTTTTTCATGTAAATGAGACAAATTAATTGGTGTTCTGCGTTCTGAGAGTGCTCAGTCCCGGGGAGAGGGGGTCTGTTGGGGCTGTGAAGGAGGCGCTTGCCAGACAGCAAGGTGAAAGAGGAGAAACAGAGAACGGTAATTTCTGATCCGTTTAATTAATCCCATCGCTAAACCGCTTGGGGTTTGTAACTCAAGCCGTGAGAAAGCTCAGGGCGAGGGTTCTCGCGGCTCTGCTGGCGGTGAAGAGCTGGGAGCCCGGGGGGCTGCAGGGGAGAGGCTGGGGCCAGGCTTGACTGGGGCAAGGGGCACCAGCTCCCCATAGTGCCCCAAGGGTGGGTGGCATCGGGTCATGTGGGGGGCTGGGCTGTCTCCAGGTGAGTCCGAATTTCGGGGTTAGGACGTCTGCCACTGTGAGGGCCTGGACAGAACACACGCCTCTCTGCGGGTACAGCAATACCAGCAGGGAGCCATGGCAGGCCATGCAGGTCCACCATCCAGTTCGGTTGCCTGGAGTTTGAGGATACCCTGGGTTTCATAGAGGAACCCTGTGTCCAAAAAGAAACCCAGAACAATAAGAAACTAAAAGGCCAGTGGGCATGGAAAAGACAGCAGGGATATGCCAGCCCTGCCGCAGTGAGATAGCCCCACCCAGCCACCAGGATCGAAAACACAGCGACCAGTGCTGCTGAGGACACAAGGTCCCTCGCCCTGTGGTGCTGTCACATGGTGCGGCTGTGCTGCAAACAGTTGGGTGTTTTCCTAGAGGTTAAGTGTGGGCTTGCTGTGTGACTCAGGAATTCCATTTCTGGGTATAAGCTTGAAGAACTGAAAGCAGAGTCTCAAAAGGACATTTGTCCACCCACATTTCCAGCAGCATTATTCACAAAGGGTGAAGACTCAAGGGCCCACCAAAGCAGGGACAGATAAACAGTGTGGTCCATCCACACAATGGAATATTATTCAGGCATCAAAAGGAAGGAAATTCTGACCTATGCTACAAGTGGCAGAACTTTGAGGGCATTGTGCCGAGCGAGATAAGTTAGTCACAAAAGAATAGACACTGTCTCAGGCTACCCATATGTGGTCCCAGGAGAGACAGAGCCCAGCTCCACAGGGCCCAGAGAAGGGTGATGAGGAGCTGTTTTTAAGGTGTTTAGAGTCTCAGGTCCAGGCTGCACAGCTTCTGTCCACCTCTGAGTCTCAGCAGCATTAGCTGGCCCTGGCCCAGGCCCAGGCCCAGGCCTGCACTGGCTGAGCAGGATCCCCCTCCCCTAGGCATCTGGCTTCCATGTGGCCTCGGCAGCGCAGCGGGGCCAGCTTTGGGGGGCAGTGTGGCTGCTCCCACCACGGTTCTCTTGCCCCCTTTCCAGCCCTGCTCAGCTCAGCTTTCTGAAGCTCCTAGGCTGCCTCAGGGTGACCAAGGCACAGCCAGCCTGGGCCACTGCCGTCCTGGGAACCTCGGTGGGAGGCCCAGTGCACAATGGGCTTCTATCTCAGGGGAGAAACCAGACCGCTCGGCTCAGCGCCCAGCAGCACCGTGTCTTTATGCCAGGCTGCCCTGCAGGTTCCTCTTAGGAGGAAACCTGAGCTGACCACCCTGCCCGGAGGCACGGTCCCCTCAACACTCCAACAGGCAGCACAACCCCCCAACCTGAAACCTGGGCTTGGTGGGCCTCCCTGCCACCCAAATGTGCCATGCAAGGCTGCAGCTGGCACCGGGGCCCCTGAGGAGGAGCAAGGAAGAGGGAGTCTCCCTCCCTCCGTCATTGGCAGTACAGGGAAGCTCTGCTTAGGGGACAGCTGTGTCCCCAGGATGCTCCTTCAGCCTCTCCCTGGGTTGGGCGTCAGAGTGGGGCCTGCTCAGCACAGCCTGGCCTGGGTGTCAGGACCGAAGCTCAGGCTGCCAGGGACAGGGCTGCCCAGAGCTGCCTGGGTACAAGTTGTGGTCCAGGGCCCTGCAGGGCAGTCACAGGGGCTCCGCAGACCAAAGAGCAGGGTCGCTCACTAAGACCAAGTGACCACCATCCAGCGGGATTTTGAGTGTGGACGTCCTTAGCATGGATGCCCTGGTTTCCTCCTGCTTGTTGCTCCTGGGAGCGACACCATCAGATCCAGGAGTCACAAGTAGACCCCAAGGAGGCATCAGCTTATGTGGGAGAAACTTGCAAGGATGCAGTTTCTCATGGAGACTCAAACTTCTGGGTTGGTATAGCCCCGAGTGCCCAGGTGCACTATCTCTGGCTTGGCGCTGCCAAACTTCTGAGCAGATTCAAATCCGGATCACTGCACAATATGAGGTTAAAAGCTAGCATTCTGGCTAACACACAGCCCTGCCATTACCAGTTACCTTGATCACACAAGGAAGGGCTTGTCCTCGGGTGGAGCCCTGCGACCTAATCCATGTCCAGGACTGCCTGCTGGGCTCTCCCCAACCCAGGTGCCCTTTGTAGGCTGGGGGTGAGGCCCCTGAACAGGGCCTGTTCCTCTTGGCATTCCCAGTGTGGGGTTAGGGAGACCTAGGAAAATAGAGGGGAGGGAAGGGCAGAGGAGAGGAGAGAGGAGGGGAGAAAGGAGAGGAGAGGAGTGGGGAGGGGAGGAGAGGAAAGGAGAGAGGAGGAGACAAGAGGGGAGGGGAGGAGAGAAGAGGGGAGGAAAAAAAGGAGAGGAGAGGAGAGAGAAGGGGAGGAAGGAGGGGAGAGGTGAGGGGAGGATAAGAGAAAGGGAGGCAAAAGAGAGGAGAGGAGAGGAGAAGAGAGGAGAGGAGAGGAGAGGAGAGGAGAGGAGAGGAGAGGAGAGGAGAAGAGAGGAGAGGGGAGGGGAGGGGAGGAGAGAAGGAAATTGCTGCTGGGCCAGGGCCGGGAGCCCAAGCTTAGGAAACCCGCGGGACCAGTCCCCTGACTTCCAGGGCTTCTCTCCAGCTTGAGGATGAAGGGTGTCGGTGTGAGCAGGCAGCTGTGAGCTGGGTGTTGCACACTAAGGTACAGTGATGCATTTCAGAGCCCTGCAGAGTGGGACGAGCTCTAACCCATTCCTGCCAGCGTAGCTGTGGACAAGGGTTGGTTCTGTGTGCATGGTGCAGCAGCGTACACCCTGGGGCAGCTTCCTGTTTCTAACTGGACTCCCTGGACAGGAGCTCTGCAGCTAGGTGCCTTTTGTCTTTGCAGCATTCCGGTCCACAGGTATAAACCTGGACAGCTTGCACCGTAGCTGGCCCAGGCCCTCTGAGCTGTCACCTCTGTCCTTTGCATGAGGCGTCATCCCATGGAGCAGTGTTGTTCCCCACTGTCCCCAAGCCCTTCCTGGTTGTGTGAGCCAGGCATGTTGGTATGACCCGGGATGCTGGTTGCAGTGCCGTGCAGGCCTCCTTGGCTTTTGAGCCTTTTGTCTTGTGACAATAGGGGTTGATGTCTTTTGGATGCCGCTAATCTTTTGTGTCGCTGTCACAAATATTTCCTCACCCACCAGGGCACTTATCTTGTAGGGGGAAATATTGGAAGATATTTCTCAGCCATGGAAAGTTGCTAATATTCACGAGCCACTCACATCTGACAGGGCTGCCCTTGGCCTATGGGGCCCAGGTCACATCACACCTTGCCCAGCAGAAGGCAGAGGGTCTGATGGGCAGGGAGTCCTTGCACACACCTGCCTCTCCTTGGCCACTTCCTGTGTGACCAGGAGGCCCCCGGTTCACCCAGATTCAGCCAGGTGAGGGCAGCTGGCTCTTTGCTCTGGAGCAATTCCTGCCCACACCAGGGTTCCAGGTTGCTCTAGGTGCTATGCAGTGCCATGTGGTGCCCATCACATTGTGGACAAGGTGGACCATTCTGCACCTTTGGGGTGATGCTCTGAGCCCCTCAGGGTGGGAAATGGCAGAGCAGCTGCACTGAAGCCCTTACATGTGTTGGGCAGAGCCAAGATGAGCCCCTGACATGTCCAAGGTGGGTGATCAGGAGGGGCTCAGTGAGGGGCACCTGGCTGGCTAGAAACTATAGTCAATGGGGAGACGGGCCTGGAAGAGCTCACCCTGTGGAAGCTCACCTGTCCCCTTCCCAAGCTGTGGGGAGGGAGGTGACCAGGTCCTCAGCCTGAGCCTAGCAAGGGGAAATAGGGTACTCTCTGTGTATTCCCTTGCAGCCTGGAACTTGGGCTCAGAACCAAAGCTGGGTCATCCTGGGATGTCAGCCTGGATGGCAGTGGCCCCGAGTCACAACCTGGACCAGGCATCTGCCTGTGGACCTCAGCTTGCCAGGGCCTCGTGGGGGTGGGCAGGCTGGCCCAAGTCTCCTGGCACAAAGCCCTGCTATTCTGGGCCACAGCACCCAGGGCTGAGCGTCTGTAGGTGCTCTGGGAGCAGTGATGGGGACAGCTGTGGCCATGCTGCTGTGGCAGACCCAGGGCGTGGTGGGCATGTCCTCTTGGGTTCTCGGCTCTGTGCAGACCATACATGAAAGAGGACCTCGGCTCCTCCCAGCCTTAGAAACTAGAGTTCCAGGTCCAGCTCTGATGCCCTGGCCATGCCTCAAGGACCCCCTCACCTAGGCCACTTGGTTCCTGCTGAGCTCTTGTCTGGCTAGCCTCAGCCTCCAGCCCAGGACACCTGCCACCAAGCCACTTTCCAACGGCAGTGAGCTCGAGAGAAGAATAACAACCCTGGGCAGTGGGTGATTCATCATTTAATTAAGGAAATGCTCTTTACTGGGCAGAGCCAGGTAGTCAAATACCCACGTTCAAGCATTAAGAATAATTCTCTCCTGTGTCCGTGAGGCTGCTGCAGAGCTGGCAGGAGGGGCACTACTTCCGGTCCTAGAGTTGCTGTCATCACTAGGATGTGAAAATCGGTGCAGTTCACTTATTTTGTTTTGTTTTTTGAGACAGGGTCTTACTATGTAGTTCAGGCCGGCCTCAAACTTGCAGGGATCCTCATGGCTCCGCCTCCTGAGTGCTGACCTTACAGGAGGGTGCCACCATGCCTAGAGGTTTTTTTTGGTTCAGTTTTGTTTTGTTTTGTGGAGACAGGGTCTCACTGTGCAATTCAGGCTGGCCTCGAACTCACGGTGATCCTTCTGCTTCAGCCTCCCAACTACTAATCACAGGAATGTGCCACCAGACTTGGCTTCATTCAGTGTTAAACATTTAATCAACTAGAAAAAGGATCCATTGGATTCTTGAAATCCATAGTCTGTTGTTCCTTAAAATATTAGAAGCCTTAGGCTGGGATGTCACTCAGTGTGGTACAGCATGTGCCAGGAGTATGCAAGGCCCTGCTTTCATCCTGAGCAACACACACACACACACATGTGCACACTGCTAAAGGAAGTCTTGGCTGGTCAGGTTAGGAGCTGCAGGTCAGGTCTGTTCCCAGCTTTGGGGCTTCCTTGTGGTTCCTTGTGCTGCCTCAGGCCCATTGTACTGGGCACCACAGGGCTGGAAAAGGCTCAGCTATTCTATCTGCTCCCCAGGTTGAAGCCCTGGCCCCTGTTGGTAGCAGCCAGGACAGCTCTGGACAGAGTGCAGGGTGACCCAGCCAGAGAGTTCGGGGGGAGGAGCCATGGCCCATGGCCCAGGGCTCAGGGCATGCCTTCCTCTAGCTCGGCAGCTCCTGCAGCCTGTGATGTGGACCCTGTGCCACGCGAGGCCCCAGATGTGGGTGATTCCAGTGCAGTGGGTTCTCCTGGACTGGACACACAGCTGCCCCTAAAGCCCAGCAAGCTGAGGCCTTGCTGCAGGAGGGGTTGCAGCTCAGCAGCTTTCCTGGGCCTCCCAAAGTGAGATCCTTTCTAGGAAGGGAAAGTGCACCTCAGCTGAGCACAACCATCCTAAGCTGCTCAGGATGCCTCAGTCCAGGATGCCTGAGCCCAGATGTCTGTGGCTCATCCCATGCACCCCTCATGGGCTCCCATCATCTTGTTCATGGTGGGAGTGTGGGAGTGAGAACTTTACCTGAGCTGACGTGAAGTTTCCCTCTCTCTGTGTGGTCTTGGGTGCCTGGTGCCATGTGTATGGGCACTTGCCCTTGTGGGCACAGGGAGACCGCTGTCCTTGAGCACATCTACCCAGGCTCTGTTCCCCAAAGCAAGGTCACAGGATGACACGCTGAAGTCTTGAGATCCCTTGTTTGCCCCATTTTTCTGCCTGCAGGGAACCCTAAAACTCAAGAGGCAGGGACCTCTGGAGCTTCCAGTGTCACCTAACCAGAAATCTCACCACTGCCAACTTGAAATTCATTGCTCAGGTGAGAGCCTTTCCTTTCAAATGGTGCCAGAGAGGATCCTCCATCACTGTGCCGCTCCCAGGCCCAAGTCACATCTCATCTTTCACCAGCACTGGTGCTGTCAGCCTCCAGTCCACCTGCGGCTGATCCAGAACTGGCAGAGGACCACGCTGTTGGAGGCAGCCGCTCCATGTGGCCTGAAGGTGGGGACTGTGGCCAGGTTCCTTCCATCCCCAACCTGGGACAGCACACAGGGCCCACAGGTACACTGGAGGCCAGTGCCCTGGTGTGAGGAAAATGGGCCAAGGGCTGTGTCTTTGCTAGAATTTCTGAGTTTTCAGGTGCTTAACTCAAGCAGTTTCTTCTCCCTCTCTGTCCCTAGACAGGGCGTGACCCAGAGCCTGGAGCAGGCAGCGCAGGGTTTACCCCTCCACAAAACCTTGCACTGTGCTGCCTGTGAGACCAGGTCACATGCAAGGGATCAACACAGCATTCTGTATGCAGAGTCCCCCAGTGCGCTGCTGCTATTTTTCAGATTCAAAAGAATTACTGCATTATTCTTTTGCAAATGGAATTTAAGTCTTTTCTTGGTTTTGGTCAAAATTAGCTTTTAAAAAAATTGTTGGGAAGCTTTTAGTACCATTATCTGAATATATTATACTTAGGAGGACACAGAGCGTGCATGTCCAGTTATGACAGTGTCCAGGGAGTGACCACATCGGGGTGCTCAGCACCTGGGCACGAGAGGACACTTCCAGTTCTCAAAGCCTCCGCCACCCTGGAGAAGGTACCCTCCTCCCACATCTGTCCCCGAGAAGAATTTTGCCTGTCTGAAAATGTCCTATCCATGCAGTAGCCTGGAAGGAAGCTTCCTTGCCCCTTACAGAGTTTGTGGGATACAGCTATGCTCTGTGATTGTTCATCAGTGTGTGATATTCTTTTTTTTTTTTTTTTTATTTAAGAGGAAAAAGAGAAAAACACAAAACAAAACAAAGCAGTGTAAGGTTACATATAATACAGAACTACAAAAAAAAGCATAACAGTAAGAAATCACCTGTTAATAGATTACATATTATCATCTTGGAAATAGTTGCTCAAATCACAGTATCAAAGAATACAAAGTAGACATTCAAACAGAGAGACTACAAACAGCTGTGTTTAATGATCCAAAAACATTAATATAGTCAGCTATTCAACATCCCTATACACACTTGCTGTTATATCCGTTAGAGCTCTTTTTTCCCCTTCCTCTCTTTTTACAACAAAATTTACACATTTTAGATTTTATTACTCCTTAGTTCTTATTACTTTTTTGGGGGGGGAGAATAAAGTCAAATATGGCAGAACAAAGCTGTCAGTGAAAACCAAGGATAGACTTAGCACATGATGTAGAACAGAGTATACGGTTATTAACAATAGTTATCAACGTTGTCTCTTGTTTCCTTAAAAAGATTTGTCTATCTCATTAGATATTATAAAGTTGGACAAAACAGTAGAGAACAAGACCAATAAAACTTAGACATTGTAAACATTACAGGACTTCCAAAGGAGACAATAGTCAAACCAGAATGGGCATCTTAGTGAATCTTACTGCCTTCAAAGTAGTTGCCTATACCCTCGGACCTGATACTATCCCACAGAATGGAACAGAGTCTAATCAGTCAAAACAAGATCGTGGGAGCATTACAGGACTTCAAAACAAGTTAATAGGAAATCGAAAAGAGTTACTATTATATATCCTAATTTTTTAAATTTTTCCCTTAATTAAAATAAACATAAGAAATAACTAAATAATTTTTTTAAAGAATAATAGTTACCATAGTGTCTGTCTTTTTCCTTGAGATATATGGATAAAACTTCATATACTATAGCTTCAAATATTTCCATATCAAGAAGCCCGGAATAAAGCCTTTCTAATTAATAAGTGAAAATTTTATAAGGCTTCAAGGCCACATAATGGGGAATCATGATTGCCACATATTTTCATATATTTGAATCATTACTTACATTAGGGAAACTATTCGGTATTCATACATGCGAGATTGATTTATTTCACTTATGAGTATGGTCTCAAGCTGCGCCCATTTATTGATAAATATCTCAATGTGATCCTTCTTTATAGCTGAATAATATTCCATTGTATAGAAATACCACAACTTTTTTATCCATTCCTCAGTTGATGGACACTTGGGTTGTTTCCAAGATCTGGCGATTACAAATTGTGCTGCTATAAACATAGGTGCACATAAATCACTGTGGTATGATGCTTTCAGTTCTTCTGGGAATATGCCTAGAAGTGGAATAGCTGGAATAAATGGGATTTCCAATCCCAACTTTTTGAGAAACCTCCAGACAGACCTCCACAAAGGCTGTACCAGTCTACACTCCCACCAACAGTGCAGGAGAGTTCCTTTTTCCCCACATCCTCTCCAGCATTTGTTGTTGTTGGTTTTCTTGATCCTGGCCATTCTTTCAGGAGTGAGATGGAATCTCAGTGTGGTTTTAATTTGCATTTCTCTGATGACCAATGATGATGAGCATGTTTTCATATATTTATTTGCCATTTGCATTTCTTCATCTGAGAATTGCGTATTCATCTCAGATGCCCATTTTTGGATTGGATCTTTGAATTTTGGAGGTCTGAGTTTTTTTAATTCTTTATATGTTTTAGACAAGAGTCCCTTGTCTGAGAGAGAGTTCACTAAAATCTTTTCCCAGTTTGTGGGTTTTCTTTTCACTATGCTGGAGATTTCTTTTGACATGCAGAAACTTTTTAATAAGATGTGGTCCCAGTTATTGATTCTGGGAAGTGTTTCCCGTGCGGTTTGAGTCCTGTTCATGAATTCTCTACCTACTCCTATGTCTCCAAGGTTTCTACCCACTTTGTCTTCCAATAGATTTAGTGTTTCTGTTTTAATATTCAGATCTTTGACCCATTTAGATTTTAATTTAGTACATGGTGATAGACATGGGTCTAGCTTTAGTTTTCGGCAAATGGAGAGCCAGTTTTTCCAGCACCATTTATTAAAGAGACTATCGTTCTTCCAGTGAACCTGCTTGGCTCCTTTATCAAAGATAAGGTGGTTGAGTGTGTTTGTAGTTGTGGTTGTATCTTCTAATCTATTCCATTGATCTTCGCCTCTGTTTTGATTCCAATACCATGTTGATTTTACTACTGTTGCTTTGTAGTATAATTTCAAGTCAGGGATTGTGATGCCTCCTGCTTTGCCTTTGCTGCTTAGAATTGCCTTTGCGATTCTAGGTCTCTTCTGGTTCCAGATGAAATTTAGGAGTGATTTCTCTAGATCTATAAGGTATGTTGATGGTATTTCTATTGGGATTGCATTGAATCTGTATAAGAGTTTTGGGAGAATGGCCATCTTCACAATGTTTGTTCTTCCTATCCATGAGCAAGGGATGTCTTTCCATTTTCTGAGATCATCTTCAATTTCCTTTTTCAGTGTATTATAGTTTTCACTGTGTAAGTCTTTCACTTCTTTCGTAAGAGTAATTCCTAAATATTTCATTTTTTTGCTTGCTAATGTGAATAGTCCAGTTTCTCTTATTTCCCTCTCTGTAATTTTGTTGTTCGTGTATAGGAATGCTATTGATTTCTGAGTATTGATTTTGTATCCAGCCACATTACTGAATTTATTTATTGTATCTAAGAGTATTTCAATGGAGTTTAGGGGGTCTTCTATGTAGAGTATCATGTCATCTGCAAACAATGATAACTTAACTTCTTCTTTTCCTATCTTTACCCCTTTTATTTCTCTTTCTTGCCTAATTGCTCTGGCTAGTACTTCCAGTACTATATTAAATAGGAGTGGTGATAAAGGACATCCTTGTCTTGTGCCTGATTTTAAAGTAAAGGCTTTCAATTTTTGGCCATTTAGAATGATGCTGGCTGTTGGTTTGTCATAAATGGCCTTTATTATATTGAGGTAAAGACCATCTATTCCAATTTTCTGTAGAGTTTTTATCATGAATAAATGTTGGACCTTATCGAAGGCTTTTTCTGCATCTATAGAAATGATCATGTGATTCTTATTTTTGGCTTTATTGATATGGTGGATTACATTTATTGATTTGCGTATGTTGAACCATCCTTGCATTCCTGGGATGAATCCCACTTGGTCATGGTGTATAATCTTCTTGATGATTTGCTGGATCCTATTTGCCAATATTTTATTGAGGATTTTTGCATCTGTGTTCATTAGGGAGATCGGTCTATAGTTCTCTTTTTTAGTTGGGTCTTTCTCAGGTTTTGGTACTAGAGTAATATTTGCTTCCAGGAACGACTTAGGAAGGATTGCTTCCCTTTCAATTTCATTGAACAGTTTGAGGAGTGTCGGCATTAGGTCTTCTTTGTATTTCTTGTAGAATTCTGCAGTGAATCCATCTGGGCCTGGGCTCTTCTTGGTGGGTAAGGACTTAATTACATTTTCAATTTCAGTAACAGAGATTGGGTTATTCAACAGTTTTACATCCTCTTGATCTAGCTTTGGCACTTCATATGCTTCTAAGAATCTGTCTATTTCTTCTGTGTTATCAAACTTTTGAGAGTAGAGGTTTTCGAAGTAGGTGTTGATGATCTTCTGTATTTCTATTGGGTCTGTAGTGATTTCTCCTTTTTCATTTCTTATTGCGTGAATTTGAGCTTTTTCTTCCCTCTTTTTAATAAGGTTGGCTAGGGGCTTATCGATTTTATTTATTCTTTCAAAGAACCAACTCTTTGATTTGTTGATTCTTTGGATTGTTTTCTTAGTCTCTATTGCATTGATTTCTGCTCTGATTTTTATAATTTCCTCTCTTCTTTTGGCTTTGGGCTTGACTTGCTCTTCTTTTTCTAGCTGTTTGAGGTGTAGCATCAAGTTATTTATTTGTATTCGTTCTGTTTTCCTGATGTGGGAACTCAGTGCAATAAATTTTCCTCTCAGGACGGCTTTCATTGCATCCCACAGGTTTCGGTAAGTTGTATCTGTATTTTCATTTTCTTTTAGGTATTGTTTGATTTCTTCTTTAATTTCCTCTGTGACCCACTGATTACTCAAGAGTGTGTTATTCAGTTTCCATGTGTTTGTGGGATTTTTGCAGTATCTTTTATCATTAATTTCTAATTTCAGAGCGCTATGATCCGATAACATGCAAGGGATGATTTCAGCTCTTTTGCACTTGTTTAAATATGTTCTGTGAGCTAATATATGGTCTATTTTAGAAAATGATCCATGTACTGCTGAGAAGAATGTGTATTCTGATGTTGTTGGGTGGAACATCCTGTATATGTCTATCAAACCCATTTGTTCACAGGTATGATTCAGTTCTGTTATTTCTTTGCTCATTTTCTGTCTGGTTGATCTGTCCCTTGGTGTCAATGGCGTATTAAGGTCTCCTGTTACAATTGTGTTACTGATAATTTGAGTTTTCATTTCTGTTAATAATTGTTTTATATAACTTGGTGCTCTGGAGTTTGGTGCGTATATATTTAAGATAGTTATCTCTTCCTCTTGGAGTTTTCCCCTTACAAGTATGTAGTGACCTTCTTTGTCCTTTATGGTCATTGTTGGTTTAAAGTTCACGTTGTCTGCAAACAGAATGGCTACTCCTGCCTTTTTCTGGATTCCTGCTGCATGAAGAATTGTTTTCCATCCTTTGACTTTCAGTCTGTGAGTATCCTTCTGGGTTAGATGGGTTTCCTGTAAACAGCATATGGTTGGATTTTGTTTCTTGATCCATTCTGCTAGTCTGTTTCTTTTGATTGGTGCATTGAGACCATTTACATTAATGGTTATTACTGTTAAATGCTGGTTAATTGTAGGAATGTTATCTCTCTGCTGTTGCATCTTTATCTTTCTGTTCTGTTTAATTATTTGCTTTGCTTAGTGGTTTTTTCCTTTGTGTATCTAAACTGTCTTTCAATATTTTTTGCAGGGTCGGTTTGGTGTTCATGAAGTTCTTCAGCTGTTCTTTGTCATGGAAGTATCGTATTGCACCATCTATTTTGAATGATAGTTTTGCAGGATATATCAGTCTTGGTTGGAAATCATTTTGCTTTAGGATCTGGAATATTTCACTCCATGCTCTTCTTGACTTTATCATTTGTGCTGAGAAGTCTGCTGTGATTCTGATAGGTTTTCCTTTATAAGTGATCTGTCTTTTCTCTCTGACAGCTTTTAGTAATCTATTCTTGTGTTGGATTTCTGGGATGGTGATTATTATATGTCTGGGTGTAGTTTTATTTTGGTTATGAGTGTTTGGAGTTCTATATGCTTCACTGATCTTGATGTCAGTTTCTGATCTCATGCTTGGGAAATTTTCAGCTATTACTTCTCTAAATATCCGCTTGACATCCTTTATGTTGTCTCCTTCTCTTTCATTAATCCCTATCATTCTTATGTTATTCTTCTTTGCATCGTCTTGCAGTTGTTGAATTGTTGTTTCCTGATTCCTTGTTATTTTCAAAAGATCTTTCCTTTCCTGTTCACTAGCTGCAATCATGTCTTCAAGGTCTGAAATTCTATCTTCACTTTCATTAAGGCGGTTTTTACAACTTTCAGTGGAGTTTTTTATTTCCTGTATATCTCTGTGCATCTGCATTATGTATTCTGTTTGTTTCTTATATTGCTCGTCTAGGGATTCTATCTTTTTGTTTAGTTCCTCCAATTTTTTATCTGTGTTTTCTTTAGATATATTTAGAATCTCTTTCATTTCTTTTATCATTTCTTCTTTTATCTGGGAGATTATTTCGAGTTTGAATTTCTTTAAAGCTTCCTGGAGTTGTTTGTCAACTTCAGTAGCTATTATGTCCGATATATGAGGTGGATGGGATATATTTTCTTCTATATACATTGCTCCTAGGGTTTCCTGAGATGGGCTGGAGGTTTGAGGTTGTAATTTGGCCTTTCGTTTTGTCATTTTGTATATTTCTGTGTTTCAAGTGTTATTTGAAAGCTTCCTCAGGATCTGTTGAAAATCCCCTTCTATGCTTGGAGCTACTGAGCCTCTGACACCGCACTACCCCAAGCCATTGGGCCTGCAGAACCAGTGTCCCTCCTCTGCCTGCTCAGAACTCCGCAGTTCCAGACAAGCTGGGCCTCAGGGACACTGTGCGCCCACCTGCCCCTTGGAAGATCCACAGCTCTTCAATTGCAGCCGGGTTAGGGTGCTCTCCACAGGCCACAGTGCCTCAGGAGCCTGTGATCCCTCCCTGCTTGCAGAGATATCCACAGTCCTCTAGGCAAAGGAAGGGACTTCTGCAGGCACTCCAGATCTGCCCAGCTCCTCCTCTGCAGGCAGATGGCTAGGCGCGGCTGGGCTCGGGGGTTAGTGTAGGCCCGCCCATCCGTCAGGAGCTCAGCAGACTTCCAAGTGTAGCAGGGGGGGGGGGAGGCAGCTGTAGTGGCCTCTAACCCACTGCTCCACTTCACTGCACCCAGAAGCCTGGGGGGTCCGGAACCGTCTGAGATTTGGGCAGACTGTGCTGGGCACTCACCACAGGCTGAGGTGCCTCAGGAAGCTGCGATGCCTCTCTGCTTGCAGAAGTATTCAGTCCTTCAGACAAAGGAACGGGCTTCTGCAGGGACTCCGGATCCACCCAGCTCCTCCTCTGCAGGAGATGGCTAGGTGCGGCTGGGCTCGGGGGTTAGTGTAGGCCCGCCCATCCGTCAGGAGCTCAGCAGACTTCCAAGTGTAGCTGGGGGGGATGGGGAGGCAGCTGTAGTGGCCTCTAACCCACTGTTCCACTTCTCTGCACCCAGAAGCCTGGGGGGTCCGGAACCGTCTGAGATTTGGGCAGACTGTGCTGGGCACTCACCACAGGCTGAGGTGCCTCAGGAAGCTGCGATGCCTCTCTGCTTGCAGAAGTATTCAGTCCTTCAGACAAAGGAACGGGCTTCTGCAGGGACTCCGGATCCGCCCAGCTCCTCCTCTGCAGGAGATGAGTGTGTGATATTCTTGTACACAAGTGTACCACGCCTCAGGGGTGCAGCAGCTCGGGGACCCAGGACCCTTGGGCTGTGCACAATTTGGTTTGCTGTGCACATTATTAGCAGACCTTACATGCATCTCTGAAGAAATACGTACACAGGAACACAGGCACAGTATGAGAGGACTCCACTTCTGGTGGAAGCTGCCACTGTGTTTCCCAAAGCAGTCACACTGTTCTGCACACCCATCGTTGTCATTCGGGATTTCAGCCCTCTCCAGTGCTCTGCTGCTTGTTCAGCTCCAGCTGGGCTTGTGTGGCTGCTCTGGCCTTGCTCTTCCGGGGGTGATGTGTCTCTCTTATGTGCCTGGACACCTTCTCTCCGAGACCTGTGCTCTCTCTGCCCTCCCCTGCTCCCTTTTCCGGCTTTGAGTTCGCTTTATATTCTGGGCGGTCAGATATATGGACTGCAAATGACTTTGCTCATCACTTTTAACGGAGTCTTACGAAATGAGACTGCAGAGTTTGCAAACAACCATAGGGGTGACTCACAGTGAGACTTCAGCGTGTTGGAAAGTCCAGGGCTTCTGGTCGGGATGGGAAATGGAGGGAAGGTCGCAGCTGGTGGAAGCTTTGTACTCACTGCTTCTGGGGGTTATGAGGTCACACAGGCCTTGAGCAGGTAGCCTCTGCCCCCCAGGCCTTTGAAGTTCTAGCAGAACTGAGGGCACGTGCTGTTATACTACTGACTTCTCCTCTCTCGTTGGTTTCCCCACCTGGACAGTCAGGGTGTGGAAAACAACTCTCCAAGGACCTTCTGATCACAGCCAGACCTGGGCCTCTTCTGGGCATCTGGCAGTGGACCTGGGTGCCTGCAGCTTGGCCCCAGCTCCTGCTGAGGGAGGAGGTGGAGCAAGGACCAGTAAGCAAGGCAAGTAGAGATGACTGTCAAACATCAGAGAGGAACCAGAAGACAAAGTCCCCCAAGACCCAGGCATGTGCAAAGCCGAAAGCACAGGACCTGACTGGTTCAGACCTCATTTCTGTTGTGGTTTTGAATATATTCCACAGGGACTCACAGGCTATTGATAGGACATTTGAGTATACCTCAGCATAGTGTACAAATGGGGAGATGAACCGGAGGGCACAGTCCCACTTGGCTCCTGTTGTCTCCTAGTTCCCTTAGGTCTCACAGTGGACTCTTTACACCTGGTGGCTGCTGCACCTCAAGGCATCACCTCTGCCTTCTGGGAAGAGAGAAGCAGAAGAATGAAGGGCAAAAAGTGTGTTGTTCCTTATGGTCAGGAAAATAAAAGGTTTTCCTGGAAGCCTCTGGGGTTCCTGTGTGGTGTGGGAATTGCGGGGAGCTGATGGGGAGCCTACAGTGAGTTACTGGGACACACAGCACTGTGTCTTCGTGATTGCTGTCACTCCAGCTGAGGGCCTGCTGCTCATTTTTACTGAGACATAATACTTTACACCTTTATGGGTGCTGAGCTTTGACTTGGGACTTGTGTGCTTCCATGTGGAGGAAACTTGTCTTCAGGTTTCCTTTCCTGTTCAGCCTGCTCATTATCAGAGCGGACCAGGATTTGGAACCACGGCCTCCTCTGTAGCTTGATAAGTTTTGTTCTTAAAAATAACCCAAGTTTTAAAGATGATGGTTCTTTATGGAGTTCTTCGAAAGTTGTCTCTGATAATTTATGTTTTCTTAGGAAATTATGTAGTTTACAGAGTTAGATGAAATTTAAAAAAAAAAAAAACCTTGTACCAAATATCCTCTTGTAATTCACAAAATTGTCTTCTGTGTTTTGTGGATAACAGTGCTACCTTTCCTAGCAGTGTACATTTACACTTCCTGTGTTTCTCCTTTACTGGTGAAGCTAAGGTGTTATTTCTATTCTAGTTTAAATGTTTCCTCTTCTGTTTGTTTCGAAGGTATGTGATCGCTTTCCCTCATCTGTCTCCAGTTCGTCTTACTACTGTCTACTCTGCCTTGTGATTTATGATTCGTGAGCTGGTGGATTTTCCTTCGTTCCTCGTGGTGACCTGAGCCAGGGTCAGGAGTTCCTTCTGATAGCTTGGGTTTTTACAGTGGCTTTTTGGCAGCGGTGACTTTATCACATTTGTTATAATGTCTTTTGCTTCTCCTTTGCACAGAGTTAGGTTTTTGAGAGCTCCCACTCATTGATAGCTGGGAGTTTTCCCTCTTTTATGATTGATTTTTAATTTATTGCACTGTGGTCATAAAAGCTGGCCTGGATGATGCTAACACTTTTTTTTAAAAGAGAGTTTTACATTCAAGATGTTTGTTTTGGCCCGGGATCTGGTTTCCCGCCCTGCAGCTGTCACAGGTATGGGACATCGGCCTGGTGAGCAGTGGGGAAGGGGGACACACCCGCAGGGGTCTCAGTGTCACCTCAGCATGTTGACAAATGGCTTCTGTCCTCGTCACTCTGACCTCTTCTGGTGGTCTCTGTGTGAAGCCTCTGTCTGCCATGGTGCGTGTACTCTGAAATGCGGGCAGCCTGGTGTATGTGCCCAGGCCTGGTGGGCAGGGTGGCTGGCCAGCAGGTGCTTCTGAAGCATGGTTCTTGCTCTGACACGAGGAGGTGCAGTGACTCTCGCTTGCCTCACAGTTTGCAGGTGGTAGTGACAGTTTGAATTGTGTTTATTTTTTGGCAGTATCTTCTCCACTGAGTCACCAAGGCCGGCCTTGAACTGTGATCCTCCTGCTTCAGCCTTCTGAGCAGCTGGGATTACAGGCGTGTGCCGTCCAACCTGGCTTGCATTACGTTCCTCATCAAGAAAAGCCCGTGTTGCCCTTTACCCCTCCCCTGTGGCACGGGGCTTCTCCCTGGCTGTCACCCCATGTCCCCTCCTCTTCCTGCTTCTCTGTTCCCAGCGCACTGTGCTGGGTGGGAGGAGTGATCCCAGTCTGGGCAGCCCTGGGCCTTGACCTGGACTTTGACCTTGACCTTGTGGCTCACTGTTTGTGGTGTATTTGATAGATGTCCTCTCTCTGCGTTATTGTAACAAGGCTTTATTTTGTGTTTTAAATCATTTTTGTGTCTCCCAACATTTCCATTTCCATGCTGAGTGTCATCATTGCTATTTGTCTGTTGGTTACATGGCTCAGGTTTTTCTTGCCTGCTCTTTGTGTGATGTGAAGGCAAAACACATTGATTCCCCTTGTAGTATCTTCTGATTTTAATCAACATATTCACCCTCTGTTTCTCTGACAGTAGTGGTAATATGCCCACAATCATTTTTCTCTCTAAGACAGACTCAGGGCTTTACCGTGCTTGATTTTCTTCTTCCCTTTCTTTCAGGCCTCATGTTCGATTTGACTAACTTGCTTTCCTGAGCCTCATTTTATGAGTACATTCCGCGGGGTGTATTTCTGCTATAAGGAATTGCATGTGCACCAGCATCTCTGTCCTGCCTGTCTTACTGTGTCTCTGATGCTTTTGCTGCAGCTGTGGGTGCAGGGTCCCCTAGTGCTGGCCAGTGAATGCACCCCTCACCTCCCTCCCTGGATGCACGTTTCCCTCCCATGCATTCTTCGTTTGGTGTCCTGGATGAGGATGAGATGTTGTGTTGTCCCCAGTTCCCAGCCAGGGAAGTCCTCCCAAGCTTGCAGGCCTCAGGGCCACTTCCTAACCTGCCGCCCACAGTGCTCCACTGGGCCCCTGAGTGGTCTCTTGTGCCTTCTCCTCGGGCTGTGACCCTTAGGAGGGATCTTTTGGAACTCCTAGGACTTCAGGGTCCTCAGGAGGGTGAGACACTCATGCTGCACTTCTGCAGCATCCTGGGAGGTGGGGTAGGGGCCTCTGCTTAGGGCCTGTGGACGCAGGCTGGGGCCCAGGTGGGGCGGTGGTGGAGTTTGCTTCTCCCCAGAGCCAGCTTGCAGCTCCTGCCTGGGTCTCCAGCTCTTTCTGGGCTTCCAGGCTCCCACACAGCCCCAGGTATCCCACAAATCCCTGTGCAGCTTGGAATTCAAAGCCTAGGGCTGACCAGGCTGGCCTGGTTTCTCACAATGCTTCCCAGAGCCCACAGGCAGAGGTTGTGGCAGGATTCTTGTGCAGTGCTAGGGACGATTGAAGGAAGCTGAGCAGAGAACCCAAGAGAACAGCAAGAGGGTACCAGGAAGGGGCCCAGAGCCTCACCATTAAGCTGGCGGCCATCCAGGCCCTTGTCAATGGCTCACAAGCTGCCTGCTGCAGCCAGGCCCATAGGACAGACTAAAGACAAAATGTCATGGCTCTGGCAAGAGTGATGGGCTTGTCCTGGGCCAGTTCCCCTCAGAGAGTAAACAAACAGAGCCAGCAGCACAGCTTGTGGCATTAGGAGCAACCTGCAATAGACAGGGGATGTGATTTGGCCCTGGGGCTGCGTTGAGAGCAGGAGGACCTAGAGCAGAAGCATGTCCACCTGCTGGAGCGTGGGGTGCTGGGGGCTCCCAGAGTACTTGGAGTTGAGGAAGGAAATCTGAGAAAACAGAGGTCACAGCAGGGAGAGCCCACATCCGTGCACTGTGGCTACACACGTGGGCAGCTCAGAGGGGACTTTGGCTGGGGTTTCACCTGCTGCCCACAGCAGCACCAGGCTGGGTCTGCAGCATCGATGCTGCCAGGTTTCAGAGGCCTGGTGAAAACTGGGGGTTCCCCTGGGTGCCCTGAAGGAGCACAACTTAATAACCACATCCAAGGATGTGGGCTTTCTTTACAATGAAGGGAAAGTCATGCGACTCATCCTGGAAGAGTTTTGGTGAAGTCTTCTGGCCTCCAGGAAGGATCGTCCAGAAAACTAATCACGATAGAACAAACACCAACAATCCCAGGCAAAGACAGGGGAGGCCGAAGCTGAACGGCGTCCAGTGGATGATAAAAATGGGTGAAATGAAACATTTTCCGGCTGGGGAAGTAAGCAAATAGCAGTGACGGTGAAAGCAGATCTGAAATACGACCAAAGTAGGGGAGGGTTAAAAGCTCTCAGCTTATTTAACGGGATGACCGAAGGCTGACAAAGGGCACTACGAACCCTATCCTGGACGAACACAGGTGTCAGCATCCCTGTAAAATTCAAGAGAAATTGTAAACAAGGAGGGGAAGAGGGTTGAATGGAGGGGAAAGGCATGAGAAAAAAGGAACCAAAGTAGATCATGTACAGGAGCAAATTCCCTATGATGAGTGTGATCATTATGTATACCATTATGTACCAATAAGTTTAATTAATAAAATGATTAATAAAAATTAATTAATAAAAAATTAGAAAGACAGGTGATACTCAATACCTGTAATCCCAGCACTTGGGAGACTGAGGCAGGGAAATCATCATGAGTTCAAGGCCAGCCTGGACTACATAGCAAGACCCTGTCTCAAAAAATAAAAAAATTTTTTTTAAAAGAATTGAGGAATATATATATATATCTCAGCAGCTGATGAGGCTTACCCCAGGAACTCTAGGTTAATTTAGCATTCAAAATCAACTAGTGCAATTCATAAATTAGTACAAAAATGGAAAATACATGTTCATCTGAATAAATATAGAAAAAAGCATTGGACAACATCATCATCCATTTCTGATGAAAAAAGAAAGAGAAGGAAGAAGAAAGAAGAAGAGGTAGAAGAAGAAGAAGAAGAAAAAGAAGAAGAAGAAGAAAGCCCACTAACAAGAAGGGAGGAAACCCCCTCTCACCAATGGCTCAAGGATGTGAGCGTCGCAGTTCGCACAGGACGACACTGGTACTAAACCTTTCACTCTGTGTCCTAGTGGGGTCATGGGCAAATGACCTCTGAAAATTATACACCCCCAAAGAGAGGGGGAAAGTTGTCTTTTTAATAACCTCATGATATTTTACATGGAGAACCCTAAAAGTTAGCAATAAAGTACTACTCTAGACAGAAGTTTGCATGATACACAGTCAGCAAAAGTAATCTTTGTGTTTCTGTATATTAGTAACAAATGCACGGAAAAACTAAAATTTAGAACTTATTACAGAAGTATCCAAAATGCAAAAAGCTTAGGAATAAATTTAACCAGGAGTGTTAAGACCCTTATGCTAGACACTAGACACATTGCTGCAAAAAGGCAGAAAGGCCCTCTCACCAGCCTGGTGTGCTGAGTTTGTAATGCAAAGAGCCACCCTGAGCCCTAGCTGGTTACTTTGTGAACCAGCTCAGAAACACTACCACAGTTGCCTCCTGAATCAAATCTGGGATGGAAAAACAAAAAAGAATTTGCAAGAGATGAAAATAAGTGAAGAAATACCTCCTGCCATGAATTCTAAAACTCATATTATCAAAGTGCTAATTTTCTCCACAGT